AAATTAGACACATGGACAGTTGTCAAACATTTAATGACACAGTTCCTCAGGGAAACATTTGTGTTCTTTTATGAAGATTTGGCATCTTTCTTTTTCAGTAACTCTAGTTCTGCTTTTATTTACAAAAGACAAAACACACCTCCTCTTGCACAGCATACCAGTAACTTGCATTTACAATAATGCCTGAAAGACTTTTAAAACAATCGGTGTGCAGACCTGTTACAAGCAGCTCATACACAAAAGTCATCTCTGTGGCTGCAGGAATTTATACATAGCTGGCACCTAATAACCATTTATGTGTTAAAGCTTATAGGGAAACAAAGAAAATGACAGCTCATTTCTGACCTCTAGTGGTGATGCATTGTGCCTACTTGCATGTGGGGCCACTGTTTGTTTGCTGGTGTTGTTTCTCTGACACACACTGACTTGCGCTCAGCAGTGGCCACAGCACAGAGAGCACCTGGAGACTCTTAATGATGTAATTCGCAGTTCATTGGAGGTAACTGGGAGGAGAGTGTGAGGAGAGGAAGTGAATTTGGTCCTGTTTTGTTGTGTGAATACACAAATGTACCTACAGTATATTGTTTATGTATTCAGTACCCCACCCTTCTTGTATGTTTGTGTGTTCAGATAGCTAGGTAGTGTTTAGCTGGTAGTTGCACAACATCCACTGGTTTTCCTTATGTTCTACAGTAAGTTTGACTGACACCAGGTCTCTGGGTAAAGTGACGGCGATAGTCATTAAATGGGCTTGCTTTGTTGTAATGTTTCCACTGTTCCAGTAGTTGTTTGTGTTGTCTTTCCTTCTCTGTTGTCAATAAAGCTTAGTTTTCACTAGCAGGTGCTTTCCTGTGCCTAATTACATTTGCCTTGAGCTCAGTCAATATGTCGTATTTGTATAATTTTTGATCCACAATAATAAATTTGGTAAAATATAATACATCTATAAAATTAGAAGTTGTTTTAAAGAAATGGAATCAAGCTCTGCTACTGCCTGGCTGTGCTGTGGAAAGACTCTGAATGTGTAAAAAGCTCACTTTTATTTTGCTCTTTTGTTGCTGTTCTCCATCTCAGGATGAAGACTGTGTGACCAGAGAAGACTCTGAGGATGCTGGTCGGCTGACAATAGGAAATGATGGCATCTTCATGCTCACTTTCTTCAGTTAGTTACACAAACTATCCTCTATTTGTCTCTTTTTTTCATTTTTTTTATCTTAGCTTTATCATCCCCTACTCCTCTCTTTCTTGATGTTTGCAGAAATAACTACATATTATATTTCCCGCCTGTGCACAGTTATTTCCTTCAGATGACACTCAATCTCTCTTCCATCTGTCTCTGTCCAGTGGCATTCTTGTTCAACTGGATCGGTTTCTTCCTGTCTTTCTGTCTGACCACCTCAGCAGCCGGCCGCTACGGGGCCATCTCAGGCTTTGGCCTCTCCCTCATCAAATGGATCCTCATTGTCCGGGTACAAGCCCAAGCCCACACACACAAAAACAGACCTTACACAGCACACATACAAACACTTGAAATGTGGTTTTATGTATGCACAAACACCACTCTGCTATTTTCATGTTGTTTCTGTAGTGGCTGGCTTGTTGGCACTGCACAGTTTCCTCAGAGATCTCTTTACAGCTTTCTTTGTTCACTTTAAAAATGCAGGATTCTTTTGAATGAACCCAGTGCAGGCCATATTTATTCAAGCCAATCATTTCTGTTGTTCTGCTGGGTTTCTAGTTCTCCACGTACTTCCCTGGTTACTTTGATGGACAGTTCTGGCTGTGGTGGGTGTTCCTGGTGTTTGGTAAGTGACCAGCCTCTGCATTTAAATGAGCCAAATAGGGAATTAAATGATTCTGTTTTACTTGTGGAGCTCCATTGCATCAGTGCTAAGGTGGCATACTGTATGTTGTTTAATTATATTACACAGTATTTGGAGCTTGATAGTTAACCTAAAGTATTCAATTAATCATGTGTTAATAAGGTTATTGTTTGACTTGGTTATTACAGTGATTAAAAACATTTCTGCAAATCTTGTCTACAGCTCATAGAGCTGCAATGTGGAAGGCACTTCATGCAGATCACTGTTTTATGGCCCAGAGCTTCACCATTTCATTGACACTGCTCTCATGGCGTCATTTTCAATGGTTTATGATAAATCCACTGGACATTGTCAGCCCAATGCTGTGTAGCTAAAAGGAGAGTACAACGGCGCCATAGTTGCAGAATTCATCCATAATTCACAGAGAATGCAAAAGTGAACTCAACTGAACTGTTGAATATTTTTAGGCGATTTCACAGTGTTTCTCACTGAAATGTACCGTGGGAGTCATAGTTCACTTATTTTCTGTTCTCACTCCTTTTTTATGTCCACAGTCTTGTTCCCTGCATACTGCATTTTATAAGGCTGTTGTTCATGTTTCATGATGATGATTCAGCAGGGGCAGTGTCATGCCCATACAAAGCTGTAAAATACTCCACTTGCAAGTCGGCTGGCATTGCCTAAATTCCCTCAGTAGGAATTCCTACTTTTCAGTTCTGTAAAGTGGTTTTATCACACTGATCTTTGCCAAAGCACAATGTTGAACTGACAGTCTTTGCTAGCCTCAGACGGTTTTGTATATCTGTACTAGTTATTGCTGTCTTCTTTGTTCAAATATTTCACACCTTTCCACGTCAGGTTGCTGAGTTCAGTTCATATCAACATGATCTGTTTGACCTGTAATTGAGTGCGAGTAGTTCAAAATACCTGGTTGGTATGAAGAACATACTGTACTAGTAAATGCAGTATAATATAAATAATGTTGTAGAAAATGTGTATTAGTCAGTACTTTAATTTTGGGCTTCCATTGGTTACTGCAAGCTAGAACTATCAGTCTCATGGTCCCCTTTTTACTTCTTCAGGAGTCATCCTCTTCCTCCGAGGATTCATCAACTATTTCAGAATCCGCAAGATGGCTGACACCTTCTCCACCCTGCCCCGCACACAAGTCCTCTTCATTTACTGAGCCCACAAACCCTCGGTTTCTGTCATCATTTTTTCTTTTTCACTGAGGAGAAAAGAGGAGAAAGGAGCCCCCCCTGCTTCACATGTTTTGGGAAATGTAACATTTATTGTCCCCTTCTAATGTAAAATGGTGAATGCTGAGAAAACTGTAAACCTTTCAGTTGGTGGTGTTGAACTGTCAAGTGCTACTTGTGATCATGAAGTGTGTGTGATGTATATAAATGAACGCCTTATTTACCAGTTTTCTATCTGTTGGTCACAGCAGCATGCACTGTCCTCAGGTCTAGCCACCAGGGGACAGTCTTGTGACATTTCTCTACAAGTCTTCTATCTGATGAAGTCATTTGTGTAGAAAAATGTGCTTCTCAGCCCGGGGTCAGTAGGTAATTTTGGGGTTATGTGAAATAATTTTCAAGCAGCAGGTTAATGTGCTTTTAACACTTCTGAACTATTCTCTTCCTTGTGAAATAGGTTATAATTCAGGTAATGTAAGGTGGAGAAGGGAAAATCAGGGGCTGGGTTTCCACCCCAAAGTAGTTTTTCCTAATGTGTTTAAGATTTGTCTAAGCGCTCATTGCAATCAGGAAAGTTTTTTGCTTATGTAACGTTGTATATTTCAGCAGATGTCCAGTGCAGAGCCTCTGGCGCAGGCTGCTGGTCACTGCCTTGCTCTAGGACACAGTGATGGTGATGGAAGAAGGTGTTAGTTGGTCACTGAATTCAAATGTGCAATCAGATGGTTTTGGCCAAATAAATGATTAGTGACACCCTATTTTACTCACAGGCACCCCATTGGTTTCCAATGAGGAAGAGCATATATTTAAGCGCATAGATTTATATTCTTTTCTTTGATGCAATAATAAAAGATAGTATTTCTTTGTTTACTCTCATTCTAGTGAAAGTATGATGGTTTTTATTTTTTTATTGCAAGAATTTTAACCCTATAAAACCATTTGTATCATATTTGATACATGAGGTTTCTGAGCAAAGAAAATCGCCAAAAAAAAGAAATAATGGAAATAATCTAAATAATATGGCACCTCTATTCCTGTATGCTTGGACTGTCTATGCATATATCGCTAATAAAAAAAATGTGAATCTTAATTTTCATTTCATGAATTATATTTTGGATTTTGTTAAAAGGTTTAATAAACATCTCAGTTCCAAAAAATTTGAATGTTCTGGCTATTTTTTTGATATGTTGGGCTTCACAGGGTTAAGTATGTGGCTTGTAAAATGTTTTGAATTAAACAGGAAAAATTATATTATGGTGTTGAGCGATTTATGCAAAGATCATAAATGAGCATATTTGACAGAATAGCCTGTAGTTTAGCTATTTGTTCAGATTGGAGGATACAGTTCCTCTTGCTCTCTCACCAGCTCTGTTATTTCAGCAGTTAACAGACAAATTGCTATATTGATATTAACTAGAACAAGAAGCTATTACTGTCATTGCTGGAATTTACTGGACAGGCATGCAAGCAGAAATAGACCACAGGTGGCGCTCAAGCACCTGCGCTTTTAAACTTTGACTTGATCAGTGCTGGACAGATTTTTCTGTTTTTAGTTTTTGTGATTTAGTGTTTTTTTTTAGTAATTCACTATGATTCATGGCATCACATTTCAACTAAAAGCATGTTGTAACTATGCTTGATAAGTGCACTTTAAAATTTGTCTATGATAATTCAGAACCCAGTTGATATTGTACTAAACAAATGACACAGTGAACCTAGGGCTGTTTGGGTCCCTGGAGGTCCGCGGCCCCAGAAAGTTGCCCACTTTGCACTGCTTTCAGTAAAGTCTTGCTGCTTTCCAGCTGAAATTATTACAACTATAAAACTGTGACAGATGAAACTAGCACAACACAGAGAAAGACTTTCACTCACCCTGATCAAGTATTTTCTCCACATTTTTGGTGTTCTTCATTTAATCCACACTCGGTGTCTAACAGCTG